GTGTTGCATGTACATGTAAACGCAAACACTTAATCAGGTGATTGTTTTTGTCACTGCTTATCAACCGTAAGCCCCCAGTTGATGAATTCTCGGGAATTATCGCGTGATTTCATAGTTTGGCTAATTAGGTTAGAAATGCGCAATTAAATGTGAAACTGGTGTATTCAATTCCATTTTTAAGGAGTAAATCATGGAAAAATGTCGATGACGTCACGGTCACATGACAAAATTATGTCTATGAGGTGATAGACAAAAACAACTTTCAGCCAATCAGAAAACGTGTTACATGTACATCCAAAATTAAATTATTAAAACAATACATTAATTTTTTTTTATATATAATTAGGGTCAAAATAGAGGGAGAAGATACCAATATTCAAACTCATAAGTCGAAACAAACTGACAACGCCATGGCAAACACGAAATACGACGAAATGACCGACATCAGTCTACAAAACACAACAAAGAAAACTAAAGACTGAGCAACACGAACCGCTCCGGAATAGTAAGCAGATTCTGGTTACAATATATGTGTTTTTATGATAAACGTTATGAAAATGATCACTACAAATACGTTCTACAATATTATGTTAGCTTAGCACATACATGTTTAGTTTCTTTTGCGACCATTCAATAAAATTTCTGCAATAGTATAGTACATGTAATGTTTCTTGTATTTTTAAGTCTATAGCCATGATATGATAAGTCTCTCTCTCTCTCTATCAAAAAGTTTAGATCAGTACACACTTTTTCAGTCAATAATTTGTAAAAATCAAATATGATAATTTTAAAATACTATATAAATTTATCTTCTCGATTCTTCGAATGTCGTTATTTAACTTGCGGGTGTCGTTATTTAACTTGGCAATGCCCGTTTAAAAAGTCTACCCATCCCCTTACCACTGAAAGCTATTTTCTGCTACCACTTTTTACTATAAAAAAAAGTGTATAGCTAAAGTTTTAATACATTATATCATAACATACATTGTAAAAAAGAAACAAACCTATTATGAGACTCAGGAATATAATCCTTAACATTTCAAAATCTGTTGAAAACAAGATAAGACCAGAATGTAACGACGTTAAATATATATAGAACACAACCGTCATACTGAAACGCAGTAAATTTTAGGCTATCTCAAAATGTACAAATGATGTACTAAATTTAAGACAAAGCTGTTATATTTGTCTTTCGATATAGCCATGATATGATAAGTCTCTCTCTCTCTCTATCAAAAAGTTTAGATCAGTACACACTTTTTCAGTCAATAATTTGTAAAAATCAAATATGATAATTTTAAAATACTATATAAATTTATCTTCTCGATTCTTCGAATGTCGTTATTTAACTTGCGGGTGTCGTTATTTAACTTGGCAATGCCCGTTTATAAAGTCTACCCATCCCCTTACCACTCAAAGCTATTTTCTGCTACCACTTTTTACTATAAAAAAGTGTATAGCTAAAGTTTTAATACATTATATCATAACATACATTGTAAAAAAGAAACAAACCTATTATGAGACTCAGGAATATAATCCTTAACATTTCAAAATCTGTTGAAAACAAGATAAGACCAGAATGTAACGACGTTAAATATATATAGAACACAACCGTCATACTGAAACGCAGTAAATTTTAGGCTATCTCAAAATGTACAAATGATGTACTAAATTTAAGACAAAGCTGTTATATTTGTCTTCGATTGTCGGTCGACGGCCACATCAAACTAAAGTCTGTGAAGTTTGCATTTGCTGCTTCTCAACTCAAAGCGCGGCATTTAATGTGGGAGTAAGATTAAAAATGGTTGGCTCGGACTCTTATATTATGTACATGTTTCCAGGTAGGATCAGGTGGGGTGTCATGTCTCCCTGTGCACCTAGACATATGTACCGCGTGAACATGAACCCCGACTCGGTATGTCGTCTAGTTCTAACTCGTAGCAGAATTTTACCACTTCGTACATGCGACTTTATATTTAGCAACTTGTATCCATCTTTTAAGTTATAAATGATCGTACGATTGCTTGCAAATTTGTATATCTGGTTACCATAAGTATCATAAAAAAAAACGGATTTTGTCGTCTTTCACAGCTGGTAACACCTGCCTAAAAGTAGAAAAAAGCCTTTCCTAATTGTTATCCTATCTAAATTGACTAGGAATGCCAGTTTTCCTGCCGAAGGTAGGTGGTTCTCTCCGGGTACTCAAGCCACCTCCAACAACTATTTGCCACGATATAGACAAGTGTGATGAAAGTGGCGTTAAACTCCATCAATCAATCAATCAATCAATCAATCATCATCATTGTTATTGTTAACTGCATCATATTCGAAAATAATTAAAACCTGTTTTGACGTATTAACCCCAAGGGTTGACAGGAGTATATAAATGACAACAACAAACAGGATGACAATCATTACAGTAAAAATTGAGAACGAAAACTGTTGTTGAAAGGGGCTATTATAATTGATTGAACTCATTAATTGAGAGATTTTGAATATATAGTTTTTTTTTCCTGAAATGACCATGAGAAATAAATTCACAAACAAAGGTTTCATAACTGGCGAAAAATCTGGAGAGTATACTTAAAACACTGGGATGGGTTTTACTGCATTCAAAGAGCATACCAAGTGTGACAGACACGTATTAGATACAATACAAAGGTAACAAAGAAACAGGCCGGTAACAAGCGTTGCCGGATAGTTTTTCTGCACGAGTAGTCAGGTGAAGGCCCGAGGCGATAGCCGAGGACCTTGACCTGACTACAATTGCAGAAAAACTATACGGCAGTTTGTTTCCGGCCTGTTTTTTGTTACCTTTGTATTGTATCTGACTTGTACGACGTTTCAAGAAAGAAGTAGTACATTTTGCATTTAGAAGAGGTAGCAAAATTAAACAGATTAGAAACTGAAATGACCATATACAAGTTAATGTAAGTTACAGTTTAAACAAACTTTTTTTCACTTTCCTTCAGCCGAGAGTTTTTTTTCTAAAATTCAAAAATCTAATAATTTTATAAAAAAGAACCATATCATATATTGTTTAAAAAATGCAGGATGTGCCATTCCATTCCCCATTCCCCCTTAAAAAAATAATAAAAATCGTCCGTTTGCTCCCAAATATATGAATTCAATATATATGATTTCAATAACAATATAAATGTATAAAAAGAAAGAATTTCTTATTTCATTAGTGAATGAAATGTTATGAAAAAATAGATTTTGGCTTGTTATTAGATATATATAGGCATATATTTTAGTTTTTTTTTTAATTTTCATGCTTGTAGGTCTCTAATAGTATTGATCAGGATTAAACACGTGTCACAATATAATCCAATCGCAGCTTACCGTCCAAAATTGGTGACATAAGTTGAAAGATTTTCTTCAAGATTTGCTGCCTATTTGAATATGTATTACACGGACACTTTTTATTTATAGGATCAATCGTGCATTGGTGAGTTGATAGGGATTTTATCTTTTGACTAGATTTGGTTTTTTTATATATATTTCCTGTCTTTTATATGGTCCGAGTACACAGTTATTTCGTAGTGCATTTCTTTTAGACAATAAATGAAAATGAAAAAAATCCCACCTGCGCTTTCTCAATAATATTTTTACAGTGTGTTGTACTACTTTTGGGACAAATTATATCAAAATTATAGAAAACTTCATCGGCTCTAACTCAAAATATGGACAATTTCATGTTAAGGGGGTCTTCAAATCTTTTGACAGCTTCCGAAGTGCTAATTTTTAACATTTTTCAGCTGGACCAAATCACTACTTTACTTTAAAATTCATGACCCAAATTTTTGTACAGTGTCATTTCACCCCCCTACTTACTATTTGAGTCATAAAACATGGAGAAATAAATTTGGAATGGGTATAAAAAAAATCGACAAGTAACACACTGTCCACACTAGGGACTATACTATAGAAATATAAACGTCGGTACCAGCATTTCTTGACTTTCAGCATTGTCCAGAATACTAATCATGCCCATATATTGAAAAAATACATTTACGGACCGACCATTATCTTCAAAAGGGGGTATGTTTTTATTTACTTTTTCAACGCTATCACCAAATATTTTTTTCGAAATTAGCACTATAATATACTGTATTTGGAAAATCAGGAATCAGAACATTATTTTGTCATCTGCTTGACCACACTATATTTTTTCTCATAAAATTGGGGATCAGAATTTTTTTTTTTGGGAAAAAACCATAACCCCCCTTTTTGGAGTTAAATGGTCAATTCCGTAGTGTACTGATATGAATAGTAATATACTGGAATTATTTGAAAAAAATATAGTTATTTGATGCCAACGTAAATATTTTAATAAAAAAGACAGGAAATATGTCGGTGAAACAAAAACTTCAAATCTTATTGAAATTTAAAGTGCCCATGAACTCACTGATCATGCACGAGTGATTCTATTCATAAAAAGTGTCCGTGTAACAACTAAAAAGTGTCCGTGTATCATCTATAAAGTGTCCGTGTTACACGAGTTAATGTACTGTTTTTCTATAGCTCTGCTGGGGGCAAAGTCGTACAAATTGAAAATATCTTTTCATTCTGGAGTCAAGGGCCTTTTGATATCACATATTTTACAATGATACTAGTGAGTAGATTTACAAAACTTCGTTAATGAGCTCCGTTTTACAAACACTTGTGATACAAGTAGTCAGCCAAAATAAACTATCTATATAGATCAATTTAAAGGTTACTCGAGTTGTAAATATGTGCTAGAATTGGAAAGTCTATGAAAAGGTATATACTATGAAATTAAGAGCTCGTATTCATACATCCTTGGCTTTCAAATATTAAGATTTGAGCGTTCTTGGAAATCCGGAAAAAGCGCCTTGGACGCACGAAATTCATGAAGTGTTATTTTCATTGAGATATATATGTAATTTTCTGCTTCTCAAATCAAAAGTAATACCTGATCGATTATATGCGGGGTTTCCCTTAGATTTGACAATGTCACAGTATAAAGTGTATTAATAGATACACTAGGAAGTAAGTTAAACAAAACAGTCAAAAAGAGCAATTTTGTAAGTATATAATTTATAATTAAGTTCGTTTGAATATACTCAGTTTCTCATTAAACTGAACTATGTGTACTTTTTTGGATTGTATGATGTACAGTTTCTTTTTTCCTCTAGTAAATAAAGTGTGTATGAAGGTGTATTTTGTTGAATTTTGAAGGTAAAATTATATGATTGAATGAAATATTTCAAATGGTATTTATTTATAGCTCAGGATACTTAGAAATATATCTAAAGAGTACCCTACTTACAAAACAATCGGGTATGAAACAGAGCACAATACACATGACAACTCATTGATTTTACTCTACCTTTACCTACGTTATATACACAAAGTTCCTAAAATGTTAGTTAAGGACAATTTTAACTACATATACCGGATGTAACGGATGTGATGGTATTTCATTAAATTCATGGTTGTTATATTTTTAGTTTGAACTGGAACAATAGGCAAATATAGAAAAATCAATATTATAGTAAAAGTACACCAGGATGTGAGCTATTAAACTGTATAGTAATTTTTGTCGGATTTCATGAAGAGAACAATTATTTCTCCGTTACATTATATTACATGCACTAGTCTCTATACCTAAGGATACTATTAGCTAGTTTGAAAGTGTATAAATGATAAGGATACATTTGACTTGTTCTGTGTAATAATGGAGGGGATCGTACGATATTTTTAGGTTAAAGGCGCTGTTATGGTCGGGTAAAGAGAGTCCCGTTGATTCATCTTTCCTCACCCCCGAAAACCTAATGCATCGCAATTGAATATATAACGTTTATTTTGTCTCTTCTCTGAAACACTACCAACTTTGTAACCTTTGCATAATTTTAAGGCTGCATTTTGATTTTATCTTCTATTTGAGTAATTTGGATGTTTAAGCACGTTTCTGATTGAAATTTCCAGTAATTCGTTTTATTTATGGTATTTATGCACAGGAGAAAGCACTTGAAATCAATTACCAATATATCGTTATTGTACATATATTTAAAAACAGTGTCCGAGCAGTATACCATCAATTAAGGCAACAGTGGTTTCCTTGTCCGAGCAGTATATCATCAATTAAGGCAACAGTGGTTTTCTTGTCCGAGCAGTATACCATCAATTAAGGCAACAGTGTTTTTCTGGTGTTCAAATCTAATAAATCAATTAAGAAGACAAACCAAGGTAACAAAACAGTAACTGCTGGAAACTCCAAAAAAGAGTGAGACCGGTTGCGTCGATAGTGTAATCGTCTCCTGCAATGCATGCATCACCGGCCATGCGAATCCATACTCCGTGCTAATGTTACAAAAAAAGGAAACAACACGTTATAAATTTCATGCGTCCGAAGCGCATTTCTGGAATCACCTTCATCAGGAACCCTCGAAGCCGAATATTTGAAAGCCAATGATTTTTAAGAACCGAAACAGTTGAAGAGCTTTATGACCAAAAAGGACCTAAATTAATAGCCATCGCTTAAATAACGTTTAAGACGACTATTCTGGTATATAAAGATCTCTAAGACTGCTAGAACTTATTGCTAGCGATTTGAGACAGAGACATATCATCTCACACAACCAATTCGTCATGGTGACCGTAGTACTTATCTAGTGTCGTTTTTAGTCGTTCTTCCTCATAACCCTTTTGAGCTATGTTGTCAGGAGCACCCCCTATTAATGAGGTCCGTATCATATGAACAGGTACGAACGTTGCGTATTACTTGAGATAAGAAAACGCCATACAATGCAAGGGGTAGAGGGAATGTTATGCTTAGAAATAGGAAGTTGACGACTAAAAGGTTAAAATTATCACGTTTGTCGTAGATTCTAGTGTAAAGTCATCCATGTGTGGCGATATCGAAGCAATTAAAATATCAAGATATGAAACAAACCATCACGTTCTGAAGTATCCTTAATCTTAACTTTACAGGGATATAAGAGATGAAGCACTCACTGAAATGTAGGTTATTGAGTGACAGGGAATTATTAATATATATAAAAGTGAAATTCAAGAATTTTGCGAGTTTTTTTGTCTTTGAGAAGGTTTTGTATGAGTTCTGCTTCATATGATAACACAAAACAAGTCGGCCAGTAGGGGTACACAATAAGGACCCATTATCTTACCAACTGTCTATTGAAATATCAATCCACCAAACTCAACAAATAAGTTGTCGAATAAAAAGTCAAGCACATGGAATCATTGCGGTTCCTCATAAAGTAAGATTTTTCAAGACTTAAAACAAGAAATTTGTATCTACAAACCCCAATATAAGTGCAATAGAAATAAGAAGATGTGGTATGAGTGCCAATGAAACAACTCTCCATCCAAGTCACAATGTGTAAAAGTAAACAATTATAGGTCAAAGGTCTTGTTATTGAAAACACTCAGGTATATAGGAATACACCATTCAACTTATTTGACCTATTTCAAATACCGAAATAAGTGATACTATCAAATTCATCTTTTCTTTTAGATCAAGCATTTTACATTTGCCAACATTAAGGACGGATATATGAAGGACTGATTCAATTGTTTGCCTTTTGCAGAAAAAAAACATATTTTCAAGTAAGTATATATATATCATTTTTAAAGGAGGTAAATGTATCTATTAAATAATTACGAGTTTTATTGAAAGTTAGAAGTAAAACACTAGGTATAGAAAAGGTCGGATATTCAAACAGAGTACAATTTCAAAAGTCAGTTCGGGGCGTATGTTTTGCTGTCGGTGAAGTATAAATACGCAACACCGTCCGGTCGAAGTTGTGACGTTAAATCTAACCCCTCGCGTTCACAAAGGGAGAATCCCACGCACTTTGCATGCTAAAGAAACCTTGCAGAAAAAATAATTGTATTATCTCCCGACGGGCGTATGTTATATTGCCTGCTGTGATATATGTCAAGTTGAAAACCCCTGACCAAAAATTACCCTTTTATACTATAAAAAATCAGTAGTTTCAATCAAAGAAAAATGTACTTGTGTGCCTCTGCAAACGATTATGTTTTCTTCATGCTTTGAGAATTTCAGCACGTTCAATGTCTTACAATATTAATTTGATATCATGTTAATCAATGAATCCAAGCAAAAAAAGAATTTGCAAGATTAAAAATTATTGTTAGCAAAAACAAATCTTATTTTCATTTTCAAATATCATCATCAAAAATCAAAGGAATAGGTTCGATAAGACTTTAAATGGCCACTATTTGTAGCTTAAATCTAAATTTAGTATGTTGTAATGGGTATTATTACAATAAAATCATATTTTAAACAATTATTAGATAGAATATATGTTTATTTTTGAAAATTAACATGTAAGCGATTTTTTTATGACGCCTCCTTAAGCACCAATTTTAATTTTCCATCAAATTAATTCAAATCGGGACACTCAATTGTTGGCCTATTTTGGTCGTAGATGTTAACGTTGCATAAGAACAGATCAACAAAATGATTCAATAGCACTTTCTAACATGTTTATTCGTCAACTTTATGTTTGAAACAATGGATTTGAAAATAGTGAATAAATATGACAAACTTTTTGAATTGACTTTTAAAATAGGGCAACATTGAAATACCGAAATACCGAAAAAGACTGGTCTTCAGAAGAATTGAATGCATACTTACAATGTGTATTATCATCACATATATATGTATACTCTAAATATATATAAGATCATAGAACAATATTTCCTTTAAACAGGACAAAAGCTTTGACCTTTTGAGGTCAGTTGTATTTCTTTAAAATCAGTTTATTTATAAGAGTCTTCGGATATGACTCATAAAATAATTTCTGAATCATTTATCAGAACTGCAATTTCCGTACAGAAGTTTTCTGTAATATCTTAATATAGATGTTGGAAGTGGCCTGTGATTTATTGTGGTATATCATGCATGTGTATAAAGTATTTAATAACCATTATTCCACTCGTCAATTTCAGTGCATGAGATATTGCTACAAGAGATTTTGGCAAGAAATAATCAACTAATGAATTACAATGTCTGTTTCAGAAATGACTGCTGAGAATTTTGATTGGAAAAATGCTTTCAGAAAGAATAGAGTTAAAATCGTGAAAGGCTTGGCCAACCCTGATGAAGTTGGAGGTCATCTTTATCAAATGAAAATTTTTAATGACGAAATGTACGACACTGTAAAAGTAAGTAACCTCATAACAAAGTAAAGTTAGCTTATTCAACCGTAACGAAGAAGAATAATAGTAGGAAAAGATCGAAATATGTGATTTGCGAAAAGAAAACGACGTACACATAAATTCTTCTCCATTTCTAAAATTTGAATGTTTTTATATCAATAAAAGATGCTTTAAAAATACATTAAATATTTTACAATGAACAGTAAAAGAGAAAAGTAAGAGGACAGTTGACCGTGAAATGAAACGAGTATTTCCGCAAATATGATCAAATATCTAATCGTTGTTAGTAACGTTTGGCTGCCCAGCATATCATGAGAACAGACAGTTTTTGTTAACGTGTAAAAACCAAATGTCCATGAAACGTAAACGATACAAAAAAAAAACACATTATTTTCCAACACTTGGCACAACACTTGGCATTTTGAAAGGCTGAACTCCAACCTTTCCGAAAAAAAATATGTTTTCGTTTCTTTTAATTTAGACGAACATTTTCATTGAATGAATATATTCTATTCAATATGAAATCCATTGATCAATAAACGGGTGACAAGTTTGGATACTCAAACAATACGTCTATTCTCGTCACATGATTATTTGGCTGGTCCATTTGAGAAACCTCGAAAAGAGAATTCAACGCTTTCCTCATGTTTAAGGTTTCTTGTGGAAACTCTTTGAACTAACAATTGTACAAAAAGGATTAAGCAACATAAGCCACAACAAGAACGGAGGTTCATTCAGATGATATGAGCTATACTTGGTTAGACATTTATTTCACAAATCATTGTTTTTGACATACATCAGCCCGATGCACACGGTATCTGGCTGTGAACCGTTCATCTTTATATCTTTCATTTTAACTTGGTTTTTTTAACCTTCAAAATTATGGTAATAAGAAAGATTTATTTTAGTTACATAAAAATGAAAAACAATTGGGAAGTTTAGCTTTTAGATAGTTTTATTTGAATTAATGTGCATTCATCATAAAATACATTGTAAAGTTGTAATTGGAACATGTCATGTGGATTCAGGCCCATGTATCAAGTGTTACAGTACTAAAATGCTAAAGCTCATGTCCCAAAAAAGCTTGATTTTTAGATACCATGTTCAAAATCAAAATCATATAATAACAATGGTATGACATATTCTCAGCACAAAGATTTTTGGGGTTGACTGTCTTTAAATGGCAGTGTAATTGACACATACTTCATATCTCATTATGACTATAGTACATGTATATCTTGATGGGAAAGAAGGAGCTATAGCTGTCAAAGTATGCATTACAACGTGTATTCCCCTATATTTAACCACAAAAAGCGTGCTATTACATTTAATTTGAAATTTAAATTTTGAAGCGTAACTGGTAAAAGAGAGGCGAATGATGCCCAAGGGACACTCGAACTCATAAATGTAAAAACCAAACTGACAACGCCATGGAAAAAACATAAGAAGACCAAAATACAAACAACAGTATGCAAAACACGATCAACATAAAAAGAGAACCTGGACCATATCAAGGGATTAGTTACTCCTCTTATCTATTTGGAGTGAAAATAACCATTAAAGTAAATTTGTACTGCACGAATAATCATTATGTATTCAAATAAACGAACAAAAAAGAATTTTACGGTCATTCGAAATTTTATTTTCTAGCTTGACTTATAGATACTTTTTTGTCTTTACATAATTCCAGCAAATAGAGGAAACTGAAAAGAAAACGAGAAAGATTTTGGACCTTTTAAACTATCGAGGAAAGAAAGGTGTAGCCGCTCTTCATGAAGCTTTTCTGGACAGTAACAACGAGGACCTTGCAAAAGACCTTGCACCTTATGTTATGGAAGTTGAAAAAAGAGACAACAAGACGGAACCATTAAGTGAGTATACCCTCCGATTTAAACATATAAAATATAGAATAATTTTCTATTTAGGTTTTACGAAGCATGTTACTTCTGTCATTGTAGCACGAGGCTAAAAGTTGTTTAGTGTTCGAAACAGTTGATTGTCGTCTTTTTTCTCGCCAAGTTGTGTTTGCCTCCAGAGTACAGGACAGCAGTGACTTATCTTAAAAGTATTCATTAAAATTGGCTTTGCTTTTCATATTATTTGTACTATGTTACCTCCCTTCAACTTGTTTGTTCTACTTTAATGAGTTCATTTTACTTTATATAAACAGCATTACGCCATATTTGGCACACATTTTAAAATAATACTAAGTGCTCTTCAACATTAATATTTTTAATTTTAATGCTATTGAAGAGTCTTCATGTGGACGAAACGCGTCTGGCGTGCTGAATAATATCTTTGTTAATTTTTAAATTATTTCTTACATTTGGCTATACTTTCTCAAGATTTATAAGAGGCAAACCGAAAAATCAGTGACCTTGCTCTTATTTACTTCTGTAATTATTACATTTTGATCTTTAATTAAAATGAAAATTCTGTTACATATATATCCGATTGTTTCACGATTAAAGCTTTTCAGTTTTTCTTCAACCGGTTTGTGATCAATTTTAGATAGAGTAAAAGTCATTTGTATTGCGAATTATCAAACAAAATATTTAATTATATTAGATATATTTATCAGCAGAAACATTTTTTATTGTGGAATTCTCAACTGTAGCTAGCGTAGGAGTCCTTCGACCATATACGTTTTAAAAATGAATACCATAAACTTGATGGGTAATTAACAGCTATTATAAGTTACAAACTGCGATGTTTTATTTAATAACATTAACGGTATGTGAAATATTGATTAAACAGTAACTCAAAACAATGAAAATATAGAAAAAATTATCTCCCGGCGTTGAGATGAAATATGGAGTAGCAAACGTTTGATTTACAATCAATGATGTTGAAGGTCAAGTTGATCTTGGTGTGTATGCATGACACACCGTACATAACAGTTATGATTCGTTCCTTTCAAATGTAGTTAAATTTATTGTTTCTTTTTTTCTTTTTCAAACTTCAAAACCAAATTAACGCACTGTTAAAAAAGGTGAAAAACAATTTGACATGTAATAATACGAAGAATGACAAGTGCTATATGTAGATCACAACTGTCCTTCGTGTTTTATTACTAATGTTAAACATTTTCTGATCATTCTATTATTCAGACGAGTTATAAATTCATTTTACTTAATTACTTAATATGTAATAACAAAAGTAAACTGCATGACTGAGGCTCACAAATAAATCAGTGCAACATATGTTCATTTTCTGCAAGAATCCTGATAATTAGCCCGACATTGGTATATGCACAAACACTCTGCATAATCAGAGAAAATACGTAGACAAACAATGTACCTTACATGGGATTGTATGACGAATAGGGGATAATTAAGGCAACAGTAGTTTACTGATGTCCAAATCTCATAAATCTATTACGAAAACAAATAAAGGTAACACTGATATATGGGGTTATATGATGTACGAGAAGAATAAAAGCAAAACCAATTTAAGAAATCACCATAAAGTCTTCCAAAATAGGTAACCTTGAACCCTTATCAAACTCTAACAATTTCTCTAGGTCTGTATTAACAAATTGTGATAAAATTTTAGACGGTAAGAATGCACAACAAATACCATATTTCTCAACGAACAAACTATATTTTCAAACCACTATCATCAACTTAGTTCTTTATTTGGGACAATTTCAAAACAAAAAAATGTGGTTTGATTGCCAATAAGACAACTGTACACCAGAGATAAAATTAAGCTTACGTCAAGCTTGCAACTTTATCTAATCAACTGTCTTTAACAATGAGGAAAACCAATACCGTATAGTAAGCTATGATAAGCACATTGTGTTACTGTTACAATAAAATTATCACGTGCTGTACACTTTTCGTGTTCTTTAAAGAATGGCCTCCAAGCAAATTAGAAAACGAGGATATGCTGAAGGATCAAGTCATCAAGTTAAAGGATCCCAAAAGTCCTTGGTGTATTCACGACTATGGAAAAGATGTAAGATATTGTTAATGCTTGGAGAGCAAAATGCATATACAAGTACTAATTCCTACGTGGAAAATGTTGCGCTTCTGTGATGAGTTTACTTACAACCACTGCTGGTGTAGTTTTCATTCCAGAGAGTATCACCAGCTCATGATCAGTAGTCAGCAATTCTGTGTTGACATTAATTATCATTGATATGGTCATTATTATAAATCAACCTTTTTAACTTTGAATTTTCCGAAAAACTAACGACCATCTACCCAAGGAATAGATTTCCTTACCTAGCGCTATATTTGGAAAAACCTTTCGGAATTTTGGGTCCTCAAGGCTATTCAAATTTTTTATTTGGCATTTTTAACTTTGGTTCGAGCGTCACTGATAAGTCTTATGTAGACAGAACGCGCGTCTGTCGAACAAAATTTTAATCCTGGTATCTATGATGAGTTTATTTAGTACAGCAATATATAGACTATTCTTTGATATTATCTTATTGTTAGGAAATAATCTGATTGATTCTTGAATGGAAATTTGACAGCCAAACTTTTAGTAAAAAAACGCAAGCGATAGTAATTACTATGCATTATACATTAAAATCTACATATGCCTATACTGCGTACGCGAGAATTTACATAAGTATAACATGTATAAGTCAGGACAATAAAGTCGTCTTTCTTCTTACAGACAAGTGTTTGATGAAGATCGTTTACATTACAAACGTGCGTTTAAGGAATCATTTACTATATGGTCTGTTTACTCCTATATCAGACCAAGGTTTTTAATGAGTCTGATTTTGATTCGACGAAAGCTACATGGGCTAATGTGCAAAATGATTTTCACAATGCCTTCTCAAGCATGTCATATATAAAAGGTATAATGAGTACCAAAAAAATACCATTCAATCATCTAATTTGAAATGAAGCGTTACAAAATGCAAACAGTATTAAAAAAGGCATGTCCATGAAATACTAGTGCTTGTGATCAACGTTATATAGCTTTTACCGTTTATTTTCGATACGCAAATCTAAATAAAAACGAAGTAGAAAACATAATGCACTGTTCAATGTTATATAGTTTTATTAGCAGGACGTTATTTAGGTATAAGTATAAGTATAAGGATATTGTTACTTCTACAGGTAGGCAAAATATTGATATCAGTTTCTTTTGCATAAGCAAAAATCCAATACGTCGATATTTGGTAATTGGAGCGAAAAGGCAGTTTTACTGTATTTTTACAAGGAAAAATTGCTTAGCGATGCTAACTCTATGATTCATTTACTTTCCAATGTATACTGAAAGACAGCAAATTTAATTCTATCATATATATTTAAATCTCATAGTATACAAGTATTTTAGAAAAGTGCTTCAAACATTTAATTCTCTCACAAGTTTGCTTTATATTTTGCAGCACGCATACACGATTCAGAATGAGTGTCGAGGGAAAGTTTTCATTATCAACAATGTAAATTTTAATGGACCATTGCAAAATCGAGTTCCTTCTAATATTGATGCAGAGAATTTGACCAAATTGTTCATTGAACTCCATTTTACTGTGTTGCAAGAAAATGATTTAACAGCACAAGTAATTAGATATGAATAAAAATTATATATTTTAATCAGAAATCTATCGCAAAACAAAATGACATTAAGATATAAACAATATTTCGAGAATTTAATTGCATTGAGTGTTTGAAGGTAGTACTTAAATATTTTAAACATGCGTTCAACGATCTAATTCACTAACGGTCAAAATGTTTAAGAAGAAAGAAAATCAAATTGCAAATTATGTTTGTACGGTCTTACCAAAAACAACTGCTTAACTTAATATCTATTTACATCTGTGTATTACATCTTGTACCAAACATCTTTTTGATGAGGCCTTGAGTCAAATTTATATACGAATTACAAGCTGTCAAAACGAGACTATTTTGATTGCTTTTAAACTGCATTTAAAGCAATGAGTTTGAAGCCCTAATGCTAATGTGTCACGAAAAATCTAAATATGAATGTAGACATCTGACCAATTTAAGTCTTGCAAACATCCCTTGCTCTTCTTTCGACCGTTGGTAAATCGCTTACCAAATAAGGGTAATTCGTTCGGCTATGCGGGATGTATAAATTTGCAACCACGTCCTATTAAAATAGGGACGTTAACTCCGATGCATCGTGTAGTAGGGCGTGTCACGCTCACTGCACGTTAAGAACCCTTGCAACAACTATTTGAGATTTTTATAATTTTTATATTTTTTGTCCCTATCAAATAAAACCTCATTTTCCAGTGGCATTCAAGATTTCTCAAAATTCATCCAGGTCTTCTCTCTTTACCAGGACCTTCCTATTGAATTAATTGTTATTTTGATCTCGTCCTTTACATGAATGAACTATTTACCACTGGATATTGAGCAAACAACAACAGTGTTTAGTAGATATATTTTTATGCATAACTGGATCTGATTTTATCCTAATGAAAACTGTATTCAACTAAATATTTCTCGGCGTACAAAAATAGTAAATTATACGACAATCGTTTTTAAAATCGAAAGATAATTTTTACTTACGCATTGAAATGATCCGACGACGTTAAGTGATTGAATTGTCAACAATATATCATTACAACAATGTTACTAAAGGAAACTAAAGGAAACGGTTTGTAGATATTGCAATCTTATATTTTCATTAAATATGATGTCAAAATGCTTGACGAAAAGAGGGTTCATTTTCTTGAGATAAACTTACAATGTCAATGACCAAAGGAAGTTCGATTATATATCATCGTGTAAGCTTATTGACAATCTATAGGTCACTCAATTGGCTTTTAAGTATTTCCTTATGTCATATTCCTACAAATTTATTGCGAAAAGAAATGGAAAAGTACAACTGTAGATAATAACAAATGAATTTAAACATTATTTTCTGGGCTGTCTTTTTTTAATCATATAATGTAAAGGGCCTTTTTTAAAAGCTGCGTAGGGGACTCTTTTATTTGAATTATTACAACCCCTGACAAAGATGAATGGTTAGAATATTGTTTAGCGAAAATTATTCATTTTAGGGTATGCAATCTTTCCTACGCAGTGAGGCTAAACAATTAGAAAAGGAGGAAAACTGTGCGGAATGTGTTATTTTGATAATAATGAGCCACGGCGTGGGGACAAAAGTGTATGGAGTTGATTGCTTGCCAGTTGAGATAAAAGAACTAACAGATTGTTTTTCAACTGCTAATTGTGAAAGTCTACATGGAAAACCAAGGCTTGTTTTTATTCAGGCCTGCCGTTCTGGTAAGGAAATAAAATAATTTGTAATGTTTACATAGTCAATTAATTGTTTACTCTTGAAAGTCGAATGGTGTATATTCAAGCATCATCATGTTTTTATCTATTGATATGAATTATTTTATCGATAAATAAACAAAATGTTGAATTCAATAGCGCAAACATTTTGAAATTTATTTAAGAGAAGCCAAACTTTATCATATAAAATAACTGTATGACAGAATAACTTTTGAACCCAAATATCACAATCATGACGTAGCTTTTAAACAAAAGTGAACTCAACAGAATATGCGAAATCGACTAAATATAAATAAGAAGATGTGGTATGAGTGCCAATGAGACAACTCTCCATCCAAGTCACAAAGTATAAAAAATAAACAATTATAGGTCAAAGTACAGCCTTCAACACAGAGCCTTGGCTCACACCGAACAGCAAGCTATAAAGGGCCCCAAAATGACTGGTGTAAAACAATTCAAACAGGAAGTCAACTTTGCATGAGAATATTATAATTTATATTTTTGTTGTTCTCTCATTGGTAAAATATTATTGATACCATAACAATACTTATAGGGGAATATCAACAAACAGCCTTACTTCTAACTATGACGCCCCCTGTAGTGAGAGGTCCAACCACTTCGAGGACACTTCGCTCTTTTAGTGGTAGGAGTGAGCAGCCGAAACATTGCCTTCCTCATCCTTTTCATATATTTTGAATGATACAAATGCATACCCTTTCATATTCATTTAAAAAAAAAAAAACCTGAGGCTATCATGATCACGATTTTTTTTTGAGAGATAAATTGATTTGACTAATATGTGTAAAAATCGACATATGACTGGTTTCAGATACTTATAATTCAATCAGCAACCTTGTCATATATTTCATCTTAAATTCTCTTCCTTATACATGTTATAACATTTCACGAAGCTGAAAAAAATTACCTATTCCTGTGGCTTATCCCATCTGCACATAACATGGTAATTCCCTGCTACCTCCCCCCTCCCCCCCCCCCCCCCCCCCCCGTTGGTTCAAACACCTCCTTGAGTGGTCCGACGTTAGCCTGTTACAAAGTAAAAAAAAGCAGTTATCAATGCATGTCCTCATGTTCCCTTCCAATTGAATTTCCCGTCCATCATCATTCCAGAATCTACTGGATATTTTGTTTTTTTGTTTTCTTCCTAAATATGCATGAAATATAGAGTTTGACATTTCGCAAATTACAGTGTATCTATCATAAAAATTGATACTTTTGCATTCTTAGTTTCCGTCCCAATACGTTTCCAAAATTTACTCAAAATTGATACAAAACAAGGCTTTTTGCCTAGTCATGTAAGGACTAATTTAAGACAAAATATAAGTAATAACTTTCAAATGAGGACTTAATTTGGGAGTCAATTAGGTGCCTTTTTGCCCCAAGGGCATTTGATTTATTTGAAAAAAGGAAAGCAATTTAAATTTTTGTAAGGGCAAATTTAAATTGCTTTCCTTTTGACATAAACAATTTTGGATTAAAAACCTGGACCATCACGTGAAATAAAAAGTTCTTAATGGACCTAAAAATACCCGGCTTTAATAATTCAAATTCCAGTTATTTGTTTTTTTTTTGTGTGTTTTTTTTATATTTATGTTCTTTTTTTTGGGGGGGGGGGGGGGGGGGGGGGGGTATATTACGGGTCATTAATCCCGAACCCGGATCAATGTTTTGGTTTCAAAAGTTATTTTTTATCACTATTTATTCTAAGGTAGTCATAGCTTTTTTGCTTTTCGAAATTTAAATCTAGTGAATAATTTGCTGAAAGGAAACAACTATACAAATTTAAATTAATTTCTCGCATATCGTCTGGTGCGTTCAGTGTACACAAAATCCTTAAGCCTGCTTTTATCTTCGTATTGAGAGGGATTTGATAACATTATATGGTAATCTTGTTTTCATTTCTATTTTCTTGTAACTTTATAATCAATTGCATGCTTGCGGAGAACGTGTAAAACTTTGAAGGATCTAGTTTTAAGTCTTTGTAAAAAAAATATTTTGGACACTAGTTTCCCTGATCTTTTAGGTCTTTCACGTATTGTCACATTTTAACCTATTATTTCTGTTTAATGGAACTTTAAAAAAAATTGTCATACAAGGGAAAGTTTAAACTAGCTATAAACCCAGGTTTAACCAACCATTTTCTTTGGAAAATGACTGCACCAAGTCAGGAATATGACAGTTGTTTTCCACTCGTTCTGTTGTTGATAACGTTTGATTTTGTCAGTTTTTATGGGCCTCTCCTTTTTAAATTTACCTTGGAATTCGGTATTTTTGTTATACTTCCCCCCTCCCCAGATTATTAAAAACTATCAAAAGAGTCTAAAGTTGGAGGAAAATATTACAAATATAGATTAAAATAAAGTTATAACTCTTATATTTTCATATCTATGTCTTTTAATTTTATATTAAATTTCAACGACGAACTATGAAAACCTTTTAGATTTGTATTGATCGATCCGTGTATTTGCAGGTATAATCAGATCTTTTAGTTCCATGTTCAAGTGTTTTACTGTCATTACTTAGCTAAAATAAAATATATTGAACACGGTTATGTAATTCTTTCATTTTATTTCATTCAATTTAAGTTGAAACAGCGTCCATAAATAAAACTGTCCACTTAGTAAAGCCTGGTGGGCAGGTTGAGATCGAATGTATTGTTAAGTCTTGCAAATCAATACAAAATGTGTATTGGGAATGGGATAAAAACAAAGTGAAGAAAGAAGATTTCTACCGTATAACAGAATGGAACAGCTCTAATAAATATTGCCTTCAACAGATGAAAAACGTGAGAAGCCTGTTTGTAAAAAATGTTTCAGAAAATGACAAAGGAAAGTATAGATGCATTGTCAAACATGACGATGGATCTTTTTCTGTCAGTAATTTTACTGACCTGCAGCTAGATATAAAAGATGGTAAGTCTCACACGCAGATAATTTTTTTTAAAGACAATCAACATTTTTATTGCAAAATAAAACAAAAACAAAAAGCACCACAAACAACTACTGGTACTTAATAAAACAAAACGAAAGTAAATAAGATCTGACTGATTTAATACTAGAATTTGTAAGGTGAAAAAAAACATCATTCTAGAGGTGTATTACCACCAAATCATAGTATGTCAGATCCGGTTTCATACGAAAAAAATATTCCCTTGATTTAGACAGTTGAAGGAAATTTACCCTGCATTTCATTGCAGAAAAAAATTTCTGAGTCATAAACATATCTCTTGGATGTCTAAAAGCACCATTCTTTTTATTTGCTTTTTATATAAATATTTCGGAATCTTCAGGTGACATGGTTACTATAGCTTGTTAACGGAAAAAAGGGGTGAAAAATTGATTGGTTTACTTCTGGTGATGGTTATTATCTTATATACAATGAAATGATATGTTAAATTTTCACTGTAGTACTGGACAGGATAAAACTTTACTCATGCCAAGTATTTCCTTATTTGAAACAAAGATAAATTCTGCACAATGTTTTAAAAAGTGCCAATTTAACAAATAGATATAAGAAGATGATGTATGAGTGCCAATGAGACAACTCTTCATCCAAGTCACAATTTGTAAAAGTAAAGACTAATAGGGAAAATTCAATGGTTGTGTTATTCCTTGGCAGGGTTACTGATTTCGACTATACTAATATTTTGTTTGTCTCTTTACGACGAATATACAAGCAAACCCTTTCGCAAAGATGAACTGCTACGGTAGACAGATTTTTATTTTATTGATAAAATTTCATAAGTTGCGCGGTCATAGCTTAACACTGTCCGTGTATCCTTAAATCGATTAGTAAAACCAGCAATACACGAACAAATTGCGGTTCGAGATATTGATACTATGCAAGAAGGTTAACATGGGGGACAAAATCAAAGAACAGTGCCATAAATATATGTACATCACAAGAAAAAAACAATTGTAATTCAATAGTTATGTGTTTAATACCGCAAACGTATATTGTACCAAATGTTTGCCTTTTCTAAAAAAAAGCATTGTAAAGCCACACATATAATTAATTTCATAAAATAGAATATAAATGGTCCTAAACTTATCAAAAACTAAGTACCTTAAACCTTTCTTGAGGAAGTTTATAACTAAGTTTTGTGCAGTAACATTGGTTATAAACTTTTGTTAATCCATTTTTATTTATTACAGTACTGATATATTCAAATATCTAAGATAATAGTTACATGTTAACTAAAATTTTCGAATACACTTCAGACAGCAAGAATGAACTGCCGGAAGAATTTGAAAAGTTGACAACGAAAGGACGTGATGAAATGGATTCAGTACCTTCAGTTCAAGAAACGCAGGATGAGATTTTACCAAAATGTACATTCCTTGATCATCCATATGCAGATTTCCTAATTGCATATGCAACACCAGAAGGTAATTGATAAAATATCAACATATATATTATATTCTTAAAAACGTATCTTTATATAGGGAACCCATATAGTTTGATCTTTAAATGCCGTTTCTAAAAGAGAGGCGAAAGATACCAGATGGACTATTCAATTAAACATAATCTCTGAAACAACTTATCGGGTTAAAGCCAAAGTCTGGTTTCTCTTCCAACTTGTCAATATTTGAGAGGAGTAGGTTCACGAAGGGCAAACATTGGTCCTTAGATTTTAATGTTTTCATTAGGTCAAAATATTACAAATCTCCATTAGAAATAGTAATTTAATTACTATTAATAAAGCATATAAAAAATTCTTTTTGGCACCCCATATTATAAATAACGAAGTAATAATCCCTTAAGTATGCATGATTTCCGTTGTAATGTCAGTTTTTGTCCAAGTTTGCCATAATCCATAATAGTTTAAGAATACTTTACTTAGGCTGCCATTCATGATCCAAATCATATTATATATAATTAGTGTTCAGTACTAACATCTGCAGCTTTAGGTAACAGAACACTTTAGGTTGTAAGTTTGGGACAGGGTTTTAGTTTGTAACCCGGATTTGTTTTTATCTCTATCGATTTATGAGTTTCGAACAGCGGTATACTACTGTTGCCTTTATTTTTCCTAAAGCTTTAGATCTAAACAATGCACAAAATCATCGCATTTTTGACAATATCCCTATAAAAGTTGCTTACTTTGGAGCCTATAATGTATGTACTATTGTGAAAATATTTGTTTAACATAGATATGAAGGCTTTTGATAAAGATCCATTTGAAAATCCAATACGGCATTTTTGAAATTGTGTTATAAAGTTGAAATTGAAGGTCAAATTTTGTCAAAAGCGAAATGTGTCCTTTGTTCAACAACACTTGTATTATGTTGAATGCACGTATGATTAATAAATTACGAAAAAGGAGTTTAGTTTTAGAATAAAAGAAGATGTGTGGTATACGCAAAGGGACAGAAATAAACAATAAAACAAACCAAAAACTTAGAGACACAAAAAGGTAAATGTATCATAAAAATATGTATGAACAGTACGTATATGAAAGGTTAAACCCAACGAAGCTAGCAAAGCGAAAAGTGAAAGAGGTTAACAAAGACTTTCAAGTATCTGTTATTATTACCTAAAACTACACATGTGTCACATCAAAGAACAATATGAAAAAGACAACCATTGACCTGGTTCCTGTAAAGAAGTTGAGGTAATTTTGGGCACTTATTCATCGTTTACGATTGATCTGTGGAAAAACAAGAATTGCATATTAAAGAACGCAAAATAAATCTCAGTTCATAAAAGCACTTTTTTATACAAGAAAACAAAAAAGTCACAAGTAAAACAAAAATTAAAAATAGCATGGATAAATTTCTATTAGTTGAGGAATAATTTACGTGGATTTCGTGAGAATACAGGGGTCATTGATGTATGTACTAGTATCCAATATGATGCAGATTTCCCAGAAAATGAAGTTCCTAAAAGCAAGCTCAAACTTCTTAATTTCTTAATTAATAAATAACGTCACCTTTTTATATTGTACTTTGTTCTCTGGGAAGATTTTATACAAAAACGTGATGAATCTGCTTTAGAAAAAAATTCTTATGCAATGCCAAAAGTTTATAGGTACAGAATAAAAAAAAACAGGAAAAAATGAAAAAAAAAACATTTTATGAAAATAAGGAGATATGATGTGATCACCGATTAGACAACTATCCACCAGATACTGGATAACGTGACTGTAAGTAACTTAAGATGACCGCACAGTCTTGGCTATAATGTAAATGAGCAATCTTGAACAATATTTCTTTTTTTTTCTTTGTTTGATTTTTATGATTTTGTTACTACATTTTATTCTGAGGTGTTTTGCCCGTCGTGTGTTCATGTGAATGTTTTTATAGATTGTTACCAACTATTTGACTATTGTTTGTTTGATTTATTGCTATGTTGCAGTAAATTTACCAAAAAAGGAATTTGAAAGTGTGAAAACCAAATCTAAATATGTTACTGGTAAATGAAATCAAAACAAGGCCTCGAGCATCATTGAAGAAACACTGATTGTCGAAATGCGCATCTGGTGCAGAAAAAATGATACCGTTTATGTTATTATTCAGATGGATGGTTTTCGGATCAAATAAACCACTTCTGCACTCATTAATTGGTTTTTTTTCGCACTCATAGAGCATTTTGCTCAACCTTTATATCTTTTATTGTGTGTTCACTCACTTTGTCCGTAATGCTCTTAAATTTCGTACTTCATTTGGCCTTTTTACTCTTTTGATTCGAGCGTCACTGATGAGTCTTGGGTAGAAGAAACGTTCGTCTGGCGTAAAAATTTATCAGCCTGGTATCTTTGATGATTTTGACAATCACTGGTCGATGCCACTGCTGGTGTAGGTTTCCTCACTTGGAGTATTGACAGCCCAATAGTCAGCACTTCTCTGTTGACGTGAATTGTCATTGATATGGTAATACTTATAAATTTATTCTTTAATGAACGTTGAATTGTTTGTAATACTTAGGATATTATTCTAAGCGAATATAATACCTTAGTTGTACTTGGCTAAACCTTTCGGAATTTAGGGTCTTCAAAGCTCTTCAATTTCGTAATTTAAATGGCCTTTTCATGTTTGTTTATTTGAGCGTCACTGGTCAGTCTTGATACTTTATTAATTATCCTCAGCATATAAGTAATATTTAATAAGCTACGGTAACCGCAGTTGAAATCAATTGTTTTAACCATGTTAGATTACGAAAATAAACTCATCATAGATACCAGGATTGAAATTTTGTATTTGTGCCCGACGCGCGTTTCGTCTACGGAATTTTGACATTCAAATATTATTTTACAGCCTATTATTATTATTATTATTATTATTATTATTATTATTATTATTAAGGTACTTCAGCCTGGCTTAATAACGAGGTTGGTTCATGGTTTATGAATGCCATTGTATGGACTTTCAAATACCATGCGCATGAAGAGGAATTACATCATTTATTAATCAGGGTATGTATTATGTGTATTTACAGTTATAAGAACGATATGTTTATAATTGAAATTCAAATTGAAGCTTTAAAGAGCCTGTATCGATCTCCTTAGTCAATGTGCATCTTCAACAATGGATATTCTCCGACATTGTGGACTAGTATAGAATTCATGACAGTGCCTCTATGTATCTTTTATAGTTTAATAAATAATAGGCAAAATTGCAAACAAATAGTAAATCGTCATTAAAGAGCAATAAGACTGAAGATTTCTGCCTTTATACTGACATGTAGATCTTTTCTTGCTGATCATTTCTGTTTTTTCAAGTTAAAGTTTAAATTTAAGTTTAAGTTTTATTATATATTATATTTTTTTTTTAAATTGTCAAAAACACCAAAGAATGTTAAACTTGTTCATTATATTGAAGTTTTCCACTAAGGAGTCGTCTGACAATTTTCATTTGACCTTATGGTTCATTTTGTCTTGCTGGTCATTTTTGGCTTTTTCAAGTTTCTAATATAGATTTTAAGATATAAGGCAAAAATGCAAAACAATTGGTCAAAATCGCCATTGAAGGGAAATAAGGAGTCGTCTGAAAGTTTTGAAGTCCATAGACAAAACGTAGAGCCCAGTATACAAACTATTCTGCAACTGTCAGAGTTTCTCTGTCTACAGAGGTTTCAAAAAATGTAGACAAAACATACATATATGTTGAACAGCGGTATACTACTGTTGCCTTTATCTATATTGGCCATGTGTGTTTGCAGGAGGGCTCGTAGTTGTCATGCAGCATAAATTATTCAACAATAGAATAGAGAATGGAAAAGGGAATGTGTCAAAAATATGACAAGCCGACTAAAGAGCAGAACACACCCCTAGGCCACCAATAAGTCTTAAACGCTGCGAGATAATCCAGCAACTGGAGGCGGGCTTCATACTACCCCTAAACAATAATGTATACTAGTTCTGCAAAATGGACGCCACACTAACATGACTAAACTCCGAAACATACATATTAACCAAAATAAAAAAAGACTATCAAACATGTGGCAGTGTTAAATATGTTTTCTGAGATCTCAACCCTTCCTTTATACATCTAGCTAAGTCCGAGTCCAAAGTTTGAATAGGTTACCAAAAAAAAAACTAAGCAAAATGACAATGATCAACATAAATCAAAAAAGGACTATTATCAGTTACTGACATACTAGCTCCAGACCTCAATGCAACTGATCGAAAGATTATGTTTTCATCATATGAAAATCAATAACAATTCCAAAAAATACCATCTTTAATGACTTGGCAACAGTATTGTTACTATATCCCTTGTGAATAAGTCTGTTTAAAGGTTTGGTTAACATCTTTTTCAAGCTTCTTGACAAGGAGCAAATTAATTTTAAGAAAGAGAGACTGAAACATATCTGATATCATTACCACATTCATCAAAAGATAATGTCATATATTTTAGTCAAAATATTGCATACACGTTTGTACAACTTCCAAATGTTAAAATTGTTTTATTACCTTTTCAATTTCTTTGGATATTTATTGAAAAATTAAAGATTGCATATTTGTATAAATTACAGTGGAAATCTTAGAAAAACTTCACAAATCTTATGATATCTCATACACTCAATTTTGTATTATATATCTTCATAAATTAAAAACTGTGAAACATTCACGTTTTGATAAATTTCTTATTGACCATCAATGCAGATTTGCGCATAAAAATGATCGAAATCGTATGAATAAGTATGCTTTATAATGCTCCATGCCACGAAGTATATATTGGTTCACCTGTCCATAAGTCTGCATGTTTGACGGTCAAGCATCCGAACTGTCATTTTCGTTTCTGAATGCTAACTCATTTTTATTGATATCCGATTGCAACTTACTAAGATATATGGATATATATAAAGAAAAGTTAATAGAATCCGTATGCTGGTAACATATAAGAAAATTAATAACGGTTTCAATTCAATTCATTGTATATACATGTTTATATGGCAACGTATATAATGACAGGAAGATCACTGTTGATCATGAGGAAATTGCTTCAATTTCAAGGTTACATTTACTAAAAGTATTTATTCAAAAAATTAGTTACCAAATGTTTAGTAAAATACTACATTAAGGAGGAAAACCTCACTTGGATATATGTTCACATGCAATTAGCAGAAGAGCCCTATTGATTTTGAGGCTAATGATTTTACTTTATTTGTTAAACAGATATAGGAAGATGTGGTATGAGTGCCAATGAGACAACTCTCCATCCAAGTAACAATTTATAAAGTTAATCATTATATGTTAAGGTACGGCCTTCAACACGGAGCATTGGCTCACACCGAACAGCAAGCTATAAAGGGCCCCTAAAATTTACTAGTGTAAAACTATTCAAACGGGAAAACCAACGGTCTAATCTATATAAAAACGAGAAACACGTATGAACTACATAAACAGACGACAACTACTGTACATCAGATTCCTGACTTAGGACAGGTGCAAACATTTGATGTTGCTTAATCTAAGGTCAAGGTTAGACTTTCTAAAGTAGATTTGAGTAAGACAAAAGTACTGTTTAATAGCATAACAGAAAAATATCAAACCGTAAAATAAGAAGGAAAAGATATATTACTTCAGGACACTACAGGCTGTTTCTCCTGATATGAAACGTGAAGTTTGTTCTCTTTTTGACTAAAGGTTGTTAAATTTTGATTCTTTTCGGCTGAGTACATTCGCGTATTTATTTGCCTATTAGATTAAATCAATAAAGAGTTTATAAAACAAAAGGTGGGAATTTCGAATTCGAAATTTTATAATCAACAATTCTTGAACTAACTTGATGATATTTACTTTTATCAAAGGTAAACAGATTAGTTGGAAAAGAAGGACATACAAAAAAGAAGGAAATGACTGTTGCTGAGGTGAAATCCAATCTAAGAAAAAAATTCTACTTTTTCCCAGGAATCCACAGCAACCCTCCAGAACTTTTTAAATAGTTACGATTGACAATATTATCATTTTGCATCTGAATTGCTATAACAATAAATATTATTTTTTTCGTTTTTATTAATTGAATGATAAGATATGGTTTAATTTTATGATGGCTGATATTGTTATTTTTATTATGCTTAGAATATTATTTTCAAATTTTTAACGTAAAAGTGTAAATGTAAATGCTTTCCAATGTTAATTATTGGTAATAATGTCTTAAAATGACAATACGATGATGTAAGAAACATATCATACTAAAACCAGTTTTAAAAAGGAAATTAAAAGTCAAAATGGTAGTATATTGTTGTTACCGAGAACGAAGTACTGGTATCTGCTTATTCATCAAAATTATATAAAGGTTTAATGAGGGTTTCATCCACCAATGTGTTTGTTTCATAAATTCTATATATGGTGATATAACTTTCATTTTACGACAAAATCTAATTGAAATTGTATTTCCCTCAAGATGATTTCATCTGCAATAAAATTTGCTATTCTTTCAAGGTTGTGATTTGTTTTCCCCTCTTGCTGGTGTTCGTGTCGCTCAGTCTTTAGTTTTCTATGTTGTGTTTTGTTAACTGTTGTTTGTCTTTTAGTTGTTATTGTTTTTTTACACGGCATTGTCAGTTTGGTTTCGACTTATGAGTTTGAATATTTCTTATCTCTTTTGACGAATAACTGATGATTGGATATGTTGAAATCTTGCGTACCCGATGAAAATGAATGTAAAAATATAAATGATACAAACAAAGGCAAACCTATTCATCCATGGATACATTCTTACTTTGACATTTCAAAACCGGTTACGCAAGGAAGTGATGGTTTGCTTACAATTGTAACTCCGAACAAAACGTGTAATGTAAACTTTTACACAGCATATCATTAAACAAGGACGAGGAAACGAAGGTGATTGTTTTTTTTCATTATATCAGTCTTTCATGTTTAAAAGCCTATGCTCGGATATTACTAAAACGGTGCTGTTGTCAACGAAAATACCAATATCGTGAAGTCATCCTGAAATAAGTATCAAAAACACAGGACATGGCAATACCCAGTTGAATAGAAGATCGCGGTTTGACCCCAGGTCTATCAGCAACAATAGAATCAAGCGATCGCGAAAATGCAGTAAAACTATGGAGGAGTCAATTATCAGTTTTACTCCTAACTACTTATTTACCACGATTTTTCTTTATTTGTTAATTTCTGTCTCTCGTAGAAATTATATATTATGAGGGATGGTAATGCACATGCCAGAGTTTCTGAAAAAAATATGGGGGGTTTAAATGAAGTTACCCATATGACGATTAACGGCAAATATCCATATGTTAAATAATTCTATAAACCTTTTATCCGTTTGACGCTAATAAGAGCTTAATAGTACAATGTGACGGATGACAATAAAACGTTGAGTTCATTTAACGCTAAAGGATGCGAAAGATGGACGTTTGCCTTGCGAAAACTTGATGTACAATATTTCAGAATTTTGTTCTAGATAATTAGACTAATACTTGATAAATGTTGCGCTTTTCTGAGTTAAATTTCAACAGGAACGCTCCGACCTAATCATTTGAAAGCCAGGAAGGAGTAAAACAGAAAATGTAGAATATTGAAATTATTTCAAAAGTGTTTCCGAAAAAGACGTAAGGATTTGACAACATTATGGTTATACGTTTACATCATGTAAGACATGCGAGACAATTCCTTAAAATATTTTCATTATCAATTATATAACTATTGAAAATATGGTTTAAAAAACTGTTTTGATAAAATGCATGCGTTTAGAATAGTATACATTACTATTGTCATTTAATTATAGCTTCCGCTTTATTAAATGGTATGATCAAATTAGCCCTAATGCAGTTAAATCAACATCTGCAATATACAGACGACGCGACGTTGCACGTTGATACTGATACAGCTTTGTAGTCGTGGGGCAAATAAACAAACAGATTAATTGACCCAGTTGTAAGTAATCCATGTGGGAATAGAAAAATACTTAAATAAACAAGGCATTAAATCAGATAAGGTTG